ATCCATTTTCGTGATCCTGACTCGGAAATAAGGTTTAACTTTTCAAAATTGGGTCCGAAGAAGCTCACTTTATTCACGGAACTGCTGCTTACTTGTTTGTTGAAAAACTGTCATTTTTTCGGTAAGAAATTTTGAATTATATTACAAATAACGTTGTGGGGCAGGTTCGTGCACGCACTGCCTAGGGGCACATTCCTGCATATTTCTTTCGTTTTTGCGATTTATGACTTTATCTGTAGTAGTGACGCTCGCCTGACTCAGTCTCGGCTGCTTGCGACGTCGTGACAAGTAATTCACGTGACCTTGGAGAGGTCACGGAGGCGGGTCGATGGCCGGCGGTTGGCACATTTTTGTTGGCCAGCCCATTCTTTCTAATTTCTATATACAGGCCACAGGGTGTCCCGAAATTGATGCGCGGTTGGTGCCGCATGTTATGTTGTCCCTCCCGAGTGCTGAACAACTGCAATTTTACCGGCACTGGCACCACTGACATCTTGCTGGTCACACGATCACGTGAACCAAGCGACTAACCCGACCGCGGCCGGTAGTGGGCGCGGGAGGCCACTCTTGTCCAGACAGGCAACGTGGAGAAACTGCATATCACCAAAAGTGAAAAAGCACAAACTACCGATCCGCTACCGCGCGGTGGGGATGATCAAGGACGGTGTGACCCAGGTTCCGGATGCCAGAGAATTGGGCGTCAACTCTGCGACAATTAAACTTTGGATGGACCGCAAACGATCAGGAGAGACACTCAAGAACAGCACAGTTCGAGGGCGGAAGACTGCCTTCAGCCGAGTGGCGAAAATCGTGATTGCAAAGTCGACATTTTAAAAGCACCATTCAACATAGCTGACAAGAAAACTGAATGAGATGTATGTCTCAGCATCCAAATCGACCCTCCACCAGTATTTGAAGACTATCTTGAAGCTGAAGCTGCTCAGCTTCAGGATGCAGACTTGGCCTACCGTGGTCCAGAAGTGCAGGCAGCTGGATTTCGCCAAAACCCACAAAAACTAGACCATTCAGAACTGGAGATGCGTCCTTTTCAGTGACAAGGTGCCCTTTGTGGTCTCTAAGCCCCTAACTGCCAGAACGATCGAAATGTGGGCCAACGGCAGCTCTGAGGAGTCCGCTGTCGAGACGGTGAAACGTCTGCTGGAGAATCTCATTTGGAGCAAGGTGAGCTACAGAGGCGCTCTGAGCTTCACGAGGTGCCTCGGGAACAGACCGTGACTGCTTATTACTATGTCAGCGAGGTGCTGAAGAAGACTGATGCCACAAAGATGCTAGAGGAAAAGGTAAATGGTTCAAAAACCAGAGTCAAACTTTTGTCGGACTGCGGACATGTCCAGGGCCATTTTCCAGCAAGAAAGGGCTCCAGCTTATCACGCCAGGAAGACCCAGGACTGGTGCCGAGCGAGGCTCCCAGGCCTCTGGGAGAAGGGGACATGGTCTGCCAACAGTCTGGACCTGTCCCCGATTCAAATTATCTGGACAATCGTCAGAAAAGAGCTCAGCAAGCTTCCAGGGCTAGCTCAGAGAAGAGGCTGTTTCAGAAGATATAAACGGCATGGCGTTGTTTCAAAGGAGAGACTCTTGACAACCTGAAACGTGACACGCTAGGGTGCAATAGGCCGTGTATGCAACTGAATGGGGATTATGATAACATATAAGCCGTGAAATAAATTCGAGCACTTGATAAGTTATTGAGGATAAAACCAGCTGCCGGACATTGGTCACGTGACCACATTTTCCGTTTGACCTTGAGTTGGCACCAGATTTTGTCGACAGATGTGGCGCAGCTTATTTTACTGCATTACTTTAGATACTAAATAATTAGACGTGTGGTAGTAAATGATACCGTGCAAATAATATTGAATTATCGGTGACATAGTTACCATTGAAACTCGAATAGCATCAATAAAATACAATTAAACTATTATCCCTCGCCCGTAAACGGTGTTTTGCCACCTTCGCCCATGCAGGGGGGGGGGGTTGGTGCGACCCCCCCTGGCGTTTGAAAACTGAGCGTCGTAGAGCTTAGCGGAAAAGACCAACGGATTGCTCTCAACGAGATCTCGCGATTGGTGGTATATTTTTTGGTCCTAGGTCAACATTTGACCTACTTATGACCGGTCAAAGGTCAAATTTTCGGAAAAATCTAACTTTTTCAGATTTCCGCGCCGATTGCGGCAAAACGGTAAGAGATATCGACTTGAAACCTTCACTATCGTGATCCTTGATCAATTCTCTATCGTTTGGTGTGTATTTCGTTGTCATAACTCTAAAAATGATGCGTTGGGAGCATCGGAAGTCTGCAAGGTCATTTGTGCATTGGGTCACGTCAGGCGTGTGACGTCACTGACCTGACCCTGACCCAAAATGAACTACAAGAAAACCAACGATGCCTGAAATGGATAGCAAATTCGAATTCAGGGCATCAAAATACCCCGAAAAGGCATACAAGTGCAAGAAGTCATTACAGGTCAACCGAGGTCACTGACCTTACCTTGACCTTAAGTAAACTTCAAAATGTCAACGGACATTGTGCCAATGTCAAATCAGCCAGTTGTGATTCTAAAACAATCGATCAGTGTGTCAGGTCAGTCGGCATTTATACCAATGTGAAGCAATCTCCAATTTAGCGTAAATCTGGCCGGAGGTTGTTCCCTTTATGACGTCATAACTCCGTGACCTGACATGACCTTGACAAAAAAAAATACCAAAAGTTGCGCAATGGATGCCCCATAGGGTACTGAAAATTTGAGCAGGCTATCTGAAACGGTTCGGCGTGTAGCTAAGAAAAACCTCAGGGGGGTTGCACCAACCCCCCCCCCCCCCCCCGCCCTACATGGGCGAGGGTTATTACTCTTCCATTGAGTTTATTGTGTTTGCAGGCATAGATAGAAACTGAAGAGCTGAGCCTGCAGCTTACAGTTGTTCTAACTTAATTCTATAACTCTTAATGCATAAATCAAGGCTACTGAGGGCTGCAAATTTGTTTCACTTATCTTGAATAACTGATGCCCTACCTTCATCTACCATTATCTGTAAGAATCTTGCATCAATCATCACCAGACTTTTTAGTTTTTTTACATACCTACTTCCCGGCCGCGAGAGTGGGCGGGTACGACTCCCTCGCCCTAACTGAGCTAGCCTCGCGGGAAAAACAAGCATGTATGCCGTTACGGGACCGGGGACGCAGCGATTAATGCACGGTTTAAAAGTCTCAGGTCAACTGGTGGCCTCTGAGGGTCAGGTCAAGTGCCCCGAGGGCCAAAATACGATTTCGGGTTTTGAGAAATAACTTTGCCAAAAAACGGCGCAGAGTCGCGATTTTAGTACCATCATGTTTGTCATGCTCCGCGGTGCGTCAAATGGTACACTTTTCTTTAGGTGGGGTCAACATAAGGTGTTCACATCGGGTCAAAGTCAGGTCAGAGGCACTCAGGCCACGAAGTTGGTCGGAGGAGGTTATATCGTATATCATTCGATTCGATAGGTCTTCCCGAGTCCATTGGCGACTTTTCCGACTTGCCAGTTCAATTTTATCAGGAGTTATTGACGAAAAAACTTGTGACCTATGACGTCACGCTAAGTTAAAGATGCAAAAGTGAAGCATTGGGCATTGCAAGAAGTGCATGAAATTGCGATTCCATGTGCTTGAGCTAGGTTTAGATCATTCTCGGCGTCAAAATTACAGTTTCCATATTTTCCCCATTGACTTGTAATGGTGACGTCACGCGATCGGCCTGACCTCATGTGACCTCTAGGAGAAATCCGAGATATACAAGTTTTGAGACTTCTAGAGGATACTAGGATAAAACCCATAGATATACAGACTAGATAGGACACGCCCATTGGCTCCCCATACTAGCGAACATGTAGGTCAGGCGGCCATGTTGGGGCAGCCGCCTACATAGACTCGCATTTGCTACAACACGTAAAGTGAATGGGGGTGGAGCGGTTTCGAGCCCGTTTTCCAAACCGATTTTTGAGTTATTGGGAGGCTGCAGATGGCCGGTATGATTATGAAATGATTAGTTAGAGCCTATAGCATCACCAAATGTATTTGAAATCAATTTTTTATCATCGTACCGTACCGCAGCGAGGGATTAGTCACCCCTTGTTCCCAGACGGTTTACTCGTGCTTGTTCGGTACGCGCTGGCTCAGAGAGCTGAAAGTTGGTACAACTGACCTTTCATTAAATCCGGATCTTATGACACTAATCACCCTTTCAAGTCATCCCCAGTCAGTGACCTATGACGTCATAATAAAGCCACCGCGCGGTCATGACATGCCGCAACTTCGCAATGCCTTCAGTGCCAGAAGAGCTTTCACAAGGAGATCAAACTAACAGAACCTTGTACCCTCCAGAGACCTTATAGCTTGTATATCTAATATTTTTCCTGATGGTCACCTGAGGTCAGGTCAGTCACGTGACATCGCCATCACAAGTCAATGGGGAAAGGTGGTAACTGCTATTTTGGTGCCGAAAATGATTGAATATTATGCAAACGCACGAAACCATGAGATAATAGTTAATACACATCTTGTAAACCAATTTTTAACTTTTGCACCGTTTACTTTAGCGACATAGATTACGTCACGAAGCCAGAGTCGGAGTTTTAGGTAAATCATTCGATTAAATTGAGCTGGCGAGTCGGGACAGTCACCAATGGACTCAAGACCGTCAAAATCGAAATGAGTTATACGGCCCTCTTAGATCAACGTGACCTGAGAGGCTGACCTGACTTTGACGTAAGGTCAGAATTCTAGGTTGACCTTAGAGCACAAGCATATCATCGACGCGCCTGAGCATGGTGACTAGGATGATGCCTATATCGCTAACGTTTATCAGCAAACTAGACGCTACTACATCAGCACCGCCCGTCCTGCCGTCGATGCCGCCAAAGACGGGTGCCGCGGCTCCCTGGGAGCCGCCTCGGTGTCCGACCTGCCGTCCGGGCCACCATAGACGGGTGCCGCTATTCCCTGTACACTGCCTCTGTTGCCCGGTCTGCCGTCGGGGCCACCCCACACATAAACGTGTGCCACTGCTCCCAAGGTGCCGCCCGGCCTGCTGTCGGGGCCGCTACAGACGGATGCCACTGCTGCCGGAGTGCCGCCCGGCCTGTCCATCGGGGCAGCCACAGACGGGTGACGCTGTTCCCTGGGCACCGCCCGGCCTGCCCGTCGAGACCGCCTTTGACGAGTGACGCTCCCTGGGGCGTGCTGTCCGGATCGACATTCTCCCGTTCTTGTGTGCGTTTCGATACTGCTTGGAACAGGCCAACGTCCTGGTCGCAGCTTTTTCTAGCCTTTGCTTCAGCCCCCGCAGCTCTGGCAGCTATTGAAATGGTCCTGAGGAAAATAAAAACAACAAATCATGCCTGCTTCTTAGTTCTCCTATAGTGATAGGGATAGGGCGATGAGCGGACTCCACACTGACATGCACACACTGCCATGTTCACACACATTCACACATGAGGCGATCAATCATGGTCCATGGAATACAAATATTTACGAGCGAGAAAGAAATGAGATTGATCATCGAAAAATATTGAGATATAATTTCAAAAAACATCGGGTTAAATGAGTATGAACTGTCAAACTTAAAGTTAAATGAGTATGAACTGTCAAACTTGGCATCAAGCATTCTAGAGAGGCCCATATCTTTGCAGCCATACATGCTGTTTATCAAACAGTTATCATGTTGTGTAGCTTATCCAATATCCATTCTTCCTTGAAGTTACACATTGTTGAAGCATTTGGGGAGTCAACTCGGCACGTTCCACCAGGTACTTACTAAATCATCAGTGCCAAATCTGTTCTGTTTGCAATAACTCCTATTTAATGCCTGGACACATTTTGATGAAACTTTGTGTATTGTTGGGCACACACTTCCCTTGGCAATGCAATGAAAAATGTGGTTTGGGTGCAAGCGCGTGCTGGGTAATTTTAATGAATCCAGAATGGCAGGATGCATTGCACACAAAATTGGGACACTGGTTGGAGACCAATCTGATGAGTGCCTTATAAGTTTAAGCAATCACTTGAGGCATACTATTGTGTGTGAACAATTGTACATGTGCAGAGCATGTATCTATTTCTCACACCCATCTGGAATGATTGTGCTCAAAGTTGGTATGGTATATTGTAACAGTATAAACAGATCATAGGCTGCTTTCACATGTTAGCAATGACACAGCAGTGGACTCTGCTCACCTTGCACAGCTACATGCCACTCACCTGCAGGTGAGCAGGGAAGAAAGACCTGATGGGACTGCACCATAGCACAGCCAAACTGGTCTGTGCAATCGAAGGAGCTCTCATCATGAAGTGTGCCGCATGACCAAGCTTGCCCCCTTCCGACACATGTTGCCACCAGTCCATCTTCACCTGAATGCGCCAGTCCTTTCGCTGTACACATCTGGGTCTTGAGGAAACCTAGAAGGTGAAAAAATGACGGGCATCTGTTAATGTGCTGAATAACTGGTAACAAGGGGCTGGGTAGAGGTCTGTTCAAATGAAATATCCTTTGTAACTATACATTTATATTCACTGCATCTTGATGCTACTCAGCCTTTCACAGACCATTGTTTAATCAATTGTCCTTATGGCTAACTGTTGTTATGGATTGTGATGCATCCACATTACAACATGAACAGAGACTATCTCACAAAACACATAATAAGAACAATACTAACTGCAATTTATATCCATTTCTAAAACATCCTCTCTCAGACTTCACTGAAAAAAGATATCTTCTATTTACCTGTGGATAAATACACCCTTTCTTCCTTCAAACTGGTTGGAGCAGTTGCTAGCTAGGCATCTTGCAGCCTTTTTGAGCACTTGTGAGTTGCGCATATAACTGAACCTGAAAGATAGATACATTAATTGGTCATTTTCTTGAGTCAATTACCTGGGCTACATTAGCAAGTAACTATGCATCAGGAAAGGATTTTCCTACTTGCTCACCAGTCACCAGACTGTACTCAGTTTGAAATATGCATTTACCAACTTAGCTCATAAAACCCAGGTCAATGAAGACTTAGGTATTTCAAACCATTTAGATGGCAAGAGAAATATTGCAATATCTGTAAGGCTATAAAATGGTTCACAATTTTGGAATTTCACATGTAGACCATTGTTTTTAAGGCACCTACCACAGCCCAGACGGCAATGCCGATAACATATTGCCAGTGCAGAGGTGCTCATCAGCTGCACAGGGTGGCTTAGATTTGCAGCAGAAAGGTTAACATTTTTGTGTTGAGCATTGCTGGCCATAACATCATACAATGCAGAGCTGCTGCACTGGCATATCATATCTACTACAAGAAAATGGTGAACAGATAGTCAGTTGTCAAAGACAACGCAGTCAGTGACTGCAAGTCAGCATGATTTCAAGTCTTATATTGCAGCATTTCCTATCAACAGTGAAGATATAGAAGCTTGTGGTAAAAATGCAGGTCTTGCTAGTCAGTGCAGCTGATATCTGTTGCAGATTTTCAGAGGACTGAAGCAGACATGTCGTAGCTTGTGCGGCTTGCTGACTCTGTTGACGCGCTTTGCAGTCTGGCTCACAGTAACTTTTCAAAAGCTGAAGTGTTTTTAAATATGAAATGAGGATATATTTGACATCTTGCTATAATTTCACCTACCATAGGCCTAAAATAAAACTCATTTTAGCACCAGCATTTTGTATCACAAACTACACTTTTCAATGCCTAGATCTTTTGTTGTTTATTTAGTAAATAAGGAAGAAAATAAAGGTATGAGATACTACTGTACTTCTACATGATGTTTATCCAACAAAATGTACTATCAACCCCTGAAATACCCTCAAATGCAAAGCAGCATACCTGTCAGACAATGGCGCCATCCGGGTAACACTCCCTCCTTTCTATCCTCATATATCTAAATCAAAACTAGTTGAGCACAATTCAACCTCCATTTGACATTCTCCAAGCATCAATCTATGAGCTGAACTCCAGAGACAAACACTTTTCACTCTAAAAATACCAAAAAATGTGCCGTTAACTTTCCTATTTTCCCGTTCACTTACACAGAGCTGCCCCGCCGAGGGCTGCCCCAACATGGCGGCGCCCTCTGCATGCCGTCGCTAAACAGCTGCCCTATCTAGTCTGTATATCTATGATAAAACCACAGTGTATATACTATATAAATACAGTGGCGGCAAATGCGCTTGGTCACGTGACCAAATCCGCACGTGCGGTTGTGGCGAGGGCACTTCCCGAAACTCTGGTGCCAACGGCCTCGCGGCGCCCATAGAGAATACATGGGACCTTTTCTTTTCAGACCTATCGTGTCTAAACCAAGACATTTAGTGCAAGGATACGACTGGTTTGAGATTCAGTAGTCTTTTGGCTATAAGTCGGCATAAGAAACGTATTTTTATCGGCAAAATTCGCAAAGTACCAGGTGGTTTTCCGATACCCTGCACGCCTCCTAACCCCCGGCGGCCGACCGGAGGAGTCGGTAGCGCTCCACTCACGACTTTTGGCGATAGCTCAAAACACCTTACAGCTAGAGGGCTGCTATTTGGCACACCTTATCTTTGCTTCCATACGCATCTTTGGAAACCAATTGCATTTCCGTCCCAGGTCAGATCACTGACTTATGACGTCACACGTGAACCTCTGCAACAGTCCCAAAATACCGAAACTTCGCAATGCCCTCGGTGCCAGAGGAGCTGTCACAGCGAGATGATACTTACAGGACCTAATATCCTCTAGGAGTCTCAAAACTTGTATATCTCGGATTTCTCCTAGAGGTCACATGAGGTCAGGCCGATCGCGTGACGTCACTATTACAAGTCAATGGGGAAAATATGGAAACTGTAATTTTGACGCCGAGAAAGATCTAAACCTAGCTCAAGCACATGGAATCGCAATTTCATGCAATTCTTGCAATGTCCAATGCTTCACTTTTGCATCTTTTACCTAGCGTGACGTCATTTATGACGTCACAAAGGTCACAAGTTTTTTCGTCAATAACTCCTGATAAAATTGAACTGGCAAGTCGGAAAAATCGCCAATAGACTCGGGAAGACCTACCGAATCGAATGATATACGATATAACCTCCTCCGACCAAGTTCGTGACCTGAGTGCCTCTGACCTGGCTTTGACCCGATGTGAACACCTTATGTTGACCCCACCCAAACAAAAGTGAACCATTTTGACGCACCGGAGCATGACAAACATGATGGTACCAAAATCGCGACTCTGCGCCGTTTTTTGGCAATGTTATTTCTCGAAACTCGAAATCGTACTTTGGCCCTCGGGGCACTTGACCTGACCCTCAGAGGCCACCAGTTGACCTGAGACTTTTAAACCGTGCATTAATCGCTGCGTCCCCGGTCCCGTAACGGCATACATGCTTGTTTTTCCCGCGAGGCTAGCTCAATTAGGGCGAGGGAGTCGTACCCGCCCACTCTCGCGGCCGGGGCGTAGGTATGTAAAAAAACTAAAAAGTCTGGTGATGATTGATGCAAGATTCTTACAGATAATGGTAGATGAAGGTAGGGCATCAGTTATTCAAGATAAGTGAAACAAATTTGCAGCCCTCAGTAGCATTGAATTATGCATTAAGGGTTATAGAACCATAGGCGGCGGAACGGGGAGGGCACCGGGGCACCGTGCCCCCTTTAATTTTGGCATTTTAACATTAGCCCTATGGGCGTTGCATGGAAAGAATCGGACCGAAAGTCGGCAGTGCCCCCCCCCCCCTTTAATTGAAGGTGTTCCGCCGCTACTGTATAGAACAACTGCAAGCTGCAGGCTCAGCTCTTCAGTTTCTACCTATGCCTGCAAACACAATAAAATCAATGGAAGAGTAATAATAGATTAATTGCATTTTATTGATGCTATTCAAGTATCAATGGTAACTATGTCACCGATGATTCAATATTATTTGCACGGCATCATTTACCACCACAGTCTAAATATTTAGCATCTAAAATAATGCAGTAAAATAAGCTGCGCCACGTCTGTCGACAAAGTCTGGTGCCAACTCAAGGTCAAACGGAAAATGTGGTCACGTGACCAATGTCCGGCAGCTGGATAAAACAACCGCGCATCAATTTCGGGACACTCTGTATGTTGTGCAATGCATTCTTGTGGAAAGGAATCAAGTTCCATGACCCCCTGCCAATTTCTTTTGGTAAATTTCTGGCAATGCCCGGTAATTCCTCCAATTCTGCAGGGTGCACGGAAGTGCCCCACCCCATGCACGAATGTGCCCCATACCTGGCACGGTTCGTCGGAAGGTCATCTCAGGCTCAAAAGAAACGGTATATACCGTTCGAAAGCTGACGGCGAGCTGAATCCAAAAATGTATTTTTTATCAAAATCGATCGATGGCCTTTATTGAAAATTGCGTTTTTGTAAAAACTTAATAATCTTTTATTCAACGGAGTGTCCCGGACATTCTTGAAAACATAAACATGTATTTTTGAGTTCCAGTGAAAGCTGAACGCCAAAAGAACAAAATTTAGCAAAGCAATATTTCCAAACATTAATATGCGTCTCCCACAGCCGACAATAAGGCGCAATCACGCAGCTCAGTGTCACGATGGACCAAAGTCAGCCACACAGAAGCTTGAAATGACCCTTATCGACTCGCGGACCCGGCGCTCTCGGCCCGCCTGACCGGCCACGGAAAGAACTCGGCTCTCGTTCTACTAAACAAATGTCATATTTGTCACTTTAACTGTCCACATCGCTATCAAAGTTATTCAGGATACCTGTGAAGAAAATTCATTGCTCTGCTCGATTTACAACATGCTTTAATTTACATTTTTCTTATACATGTTTTGTTCCATCCAGCTGCGATCAGTGCCCGCGCAGGGGAAGTGAGCGGGGTTTCACTGTCAGAGGCTGTACTGGTGACAGCTGCTCGGCCGTGCGACCGGTCAAAGGTTACCCTGCCCCGCCGGGCGCTACCCCACTCCACCCGAGCTGAGGCCGGTGCAACCTCTGACATTTCAGCGCGGCCAATTTTCCTTAAATGGGCATGATACCAAGCTCAATTGAGCAAAGTAGACATGAACAAATGCAAATTAACCCGCGCCCCGTTGGGCTCTGCCGAGCAACGCGCCCCGTTGGGGGGGGGGGCATTTTGGCCCCCCCTAAGATCTCGAGAACCACGCAACCTAGCGACAAGCGGCAAACGGTGTTGGATAGCCCTATCAGGGAACTACCTTGTGACCCAATTTTATTGACCTAGGTCAAACCGATGACGTCACAGGTCAGGTCAAAGGTCCAATTTTCACCGTTTACAGGCATTTCAAGGAATGCGTTGTAAAATCGAGTAAAATGCATTTCATTGAAAATCATCGATGGGGAAATGTTCTTCAAACACATATTTTGCTATTTGAGGTCACTGATACCAGGTCAGGTCACAGAGGTCAGGTCACGGGGGGGGTCACAATATGAAAGTGTCGTGTGATAGATGTTTTATGGTCCATTTTACATGACAAATGCGATTATGTGGGTCAGGCAGCCTTTGGGGCCAGCTTAGGTCACGTTTTGGTCAAGTTCAGGTCAAGGTCAGGTCAAGGTCAGGTCAAATTGGGTCAAATTTCAAAGTTAATATTTTTGCATAAAATGGGTATCGAATCGATGCAGCTCGTCACGGGGAGTTCAATGGTGGTCTTTGTTTTGCCGTACGTGGTCTAGAATCGCTAAAAATTGAGTTCAAAAATTTGACGTCATCATTTTTGAACAGTTTTTTCGCTATAACTTGGCCAAAAAACGAGATATCGATCTGAAATTTGGTATGTATATAGAAGACCGCAGGGACTATCACATATATTCCGTTTTTTTTTCGAAATTCGGTAAAATTTTGGATTTTTTTAAGTTTTTCTAAAAAAAAAATCAATTTTTTGAATTTTATGGGGTCAAAAACCCAAAATTTTGAAAATCCAAGATAGCAGTTTTGTAGCGCCGTTTTTGTCTACTAGACCATATAAAAAACTTTGAAATTGCTCGATAACTGTAGATTTGGTGAGCGTTTCAAGATTGCATGTTTTTTGCTCATTTTTGCTCGAACATGACCTCAGTTTGACCTCAATAACTCCTGACCTAAGGTGACCTAAGATTTGAAATTTGGTGTGAAGGTGTCAAATTGATGCCCGGGAAGGTACTGAGAATTTGGCGGCGCTGCGCGCCGCCGTTTTCTTGCTATTCAGGAAAAACCACAGGGGGGGCCAAAATGGCCCCCCCAACGGGGCGAGGGTTAATGCATGATGTGAAGATGACAGAACAATGAATTTTCTTCACCGGTATCCTGAATAACTTAAATAGCGATGTGGACAGCACTACTGACAAATATGACATTTGTTTAGTAGAACGAGAGCCGAACGTTCTTTCCGTGGCCGGTCAGGCGGGCCGAGAGCGCCGGGTCTGCGAGTCGATAAGGGTCATTTCACGCTTCTGTGTGGCTGACTTTGGTCCATCGTGACACTGAGCTGTGTGATTGCGCCTTATTTTCGGCTGTGGGAGACGCATATTAATGTTTGGAAATATTGCTTCGCTAAATATTGTTCTTTTGGCGTTCAGCTTTCACTGGAACTCAAAAATATATGTTTATGTTTTCAAGAATGTCCGGGACAGCCCGTTGAATAAAAGATTATTAATTTTTTACAAAAACGCAATTTCCAAAAAAGGCCATCGATCGATTTTGATAAAAATTACATTTTTGGATTCAGCTGACCGTCAGCTTTCGAATGGTAGGTATATATCGTTTCTTTTGAGCCTGAGATGACCTTCCGACGAACCGTGCTGGGGCAGTTTCATGCAAGCGTTCAGAGTTATTAAAAGTCATTTTTCTAATACAAGCGGTAACTTAAGAGGATAAGTTTTTAAGAGGAAAAAAATCTGCAATAGTTCCTTTCCATACTACAATGAAAAACAATTTTGCTATTGCACTAACCGACGAACAGATACACGGATTTATCCATTTTTTGCACGAATGCGCCCCACTCTCCCCTAATCCTCCCCGGGTTACCGTTTGAGAGACTGGTTGGCCTGTCCCTTGCGCCGTGGCCCTCCCGTGCCAACGAGATTGGATCAGTTGCTGCTTGCGGCGCACCATTTGGTGGTCGATATAGCCCAATTTCTCCCTCGCTTCCTCTCATCTCATTGCTCTGAAATGGTTTCAGGTGACGACCGGCCTAACCCAACAAAGAAAATTATGTAAATAAATAATTTTACTGCCACTGACTTAACCCTCGCCCGTAAACGGTGTTTTGCCACCTTCGCCCATGCAGGGGGGGGGGGGTTGGTGCGACCCCCCCCCCCTGGCGTTTGAAAACGGAGCGTCGTAGAGCTAACGGATTGCTCTCAACGAGATCTCGCGATTGGTGGTATATTTTTTGGTCCTAGGTCAACATTTGACCTACTTATGACCGGTCAAAGGTCAAATTTTCGGAAAAAAATCTAACTTTTTCAGATTTCCGCGCCGATTGCGGCAAAACGGTAAGAGATATTGACTTGAAAACCTTCACTATCGTGATCCTTGATCTATTCTCTATCGTTTGGTGTGTATTTCGATGTCATAACTCTAAAAATGATGCGTTGGGAGCGTCGAAAGTCTGTAAGGTCATTTGTGCATTGGGTCACGTCAGGCGTGTGACGTCACTGACCTGACCCTGACCCAAAATGAACTACAAGAAACAACCGACGATGCCTGAAATGGATAGCAAATTCGAATTCAGGGCATCAAAATACCCCGAAAAGGCATACAAGTGCAAGAAGTCATTACAGGTCAACCGAGGTCACTGACCTTACCTTGACTTTTAGTAACCTTCAAAATGTCAACGGACATTGTGCCAATGTCAAATCGGCCGGTTGTGATTCTAAAACAATCCATCAGTGTGTCAGGTCAGTCGGCATTTATACCAATGTGAAGCAATCTCCAATTTAGCGTAAATCTGGCCGGAGGTTGTTCCCTTTATGACGTCATAACTCCGTGACCTGACATGACCTTGACAAAAAAAAAAGTTGCGCAAAGGATGCCCCAGAGGGTACTGAAAATTTGAGCAGGCTATCTGAAACGGTTCGGCGTGTAGCTAAGAAAAACCTCAGGGGGGGTTGCACCCCCCCCCCACCCCACCCCCCCCCCCCCCACATGGGCGAGGGTTAAATTTCGTAGTGTTGTTTCGGACAATCAAAATACTTAGGCATTCAATAGAATACCTAGGGATTCTATAGAATGCCTGATTCCACACACAGCCTGTAACATATCTACTCACTCCCGTGTTGCCCGTCCAGAGTAGCTCCTCGTGGTGGTCGAAGGCGGTGGCCGATACGGCGAACTGGTCGCCGCCGTCTGTCACCAGCGACCCGGTCTGGTGGTACTCGCCGCCGAACGGACCGTACTCAGCGGCTGGCTCCAGGGCCGGCGAGCCGTACGCGCCGCCCGCCAGGTCGTACACGGTGCCGTCGTACTCTGCCGCCCAGCACAAACACACACACAGTCACCTCTGCCGCCCAAAACAAACACGCACGCACACAGCCAGCAGAACGGCGGCGGCAGCGGGCGTTCCAACATGACGTGCTCTTAGGTGAATTGCGTTTGACCCAGCCAAGCCTGTAGATAACCCAAACCACCCGGGACCGGAGGCGCTTTTTCACCCACCCCCAGTCTTCCGGATTCCCTATCAACATTGCATGGCAAAAAGGATAAACGATCTCCAGTATTCTTACGCGATCGGCACTTCATCCCCCTAAATGCCCGTCAGGAAGTACAGCGTGTAATGCTTGCGCAGCAGGCATTGAAGGAAAATGCACATCTAAAGACGTGGCATACAAAATTACCTGTGCCATATGTCAAAACGCTACTTATATAGGACAAACTAAAAGACCCATCCGACTTAATTCAATGAGCACTTACAGGATGCGAAAAACAAATCAGCAGACACTTCTTTCGATGACCACGTCCGCACCCAACATCCAGACTTCACCATAGCAGTCTCATCTATGCAGCTACAGATCATGCGTAGATGCAAAGATGTAGCAGAACTTAAGATCGCTGAATCAAAGTACATCCGTGACCTACGCCCAACACTCAACACTCAAACATCAATGGACAATGGACAATTGACAATTTATTCAGGACATTCCACTAGAGCATGTGGCTATTACTGCCCGTCGTCAGTAAAACAGGTGATGGTAAAATGCAATAAAAGATGAAAGGGGAACACATACAGAGAGATACTCATGATGACTAGTTGCTGGTGCTCTGCTCCTCGAGCAGATGCCTGCGTAGGCGTTGTCCGAACGCCCCCGGGGGCAGTCGGGGCAAATCCGATGGCAGTGAGTTGAGGGCAGTCGGCGCTCGGCAGGTGAACCGGCGTTTGCCCATCTCCGTGCGGGATCGCGGCACGTGCGGGAGTGTGTCCTGCCGCGTGCTGACAGCAGCGTCCCGGCCGCGCGCCTCCGCCACGGTGGCCAGACTACCCGCCAGCACCTCCGGCTCGGCGTGACACCGCACTTTGTGCAGCAGGCACAGGGAGTGGTAGGTGACGAGGTTCTCCGCGCTGAGCCAGCGCAACTGGCACATCAAATCGGAAACATGATCGTACTTTTTGCGGCCGAAAATGACTTTTGCTGCGTAGTTTAAGATTTTTTGTATCCGAGAGAGATTGTGTTTGGTGCCAGCACCATACACTGCGATGCAGTATCGAACTTGGGATATGACCAGTGCGCTGACCATCACGGAGATCACAGTGGGCGGTAGGTGCCCCCGGAGATGCGAGAGACCACCCAAAACTCCAAAGCAGCGTTTCGTGAGCGTTGTAATATGATCACCCCAGGTCAGTTGACGATCAAATATGATGCCGAGATTGTCTGCTGAGGAAACTGGGGACAGCTCGTGATCGCGGTATTTTACTTTAAGTTCAGGCAATGTGCGAAGATTTTGGGGGCTGCCCAACAGCATCAGCTGAGTCTTAGCGGCGTTGACTTTTAAGCCGTTGGCCCGGAACCAACGGTCAGGAGAGGCCAATATGTCCTCCATACGAGTGACGAGCGATTGAAATTTAGATTTCTTGCCGCTTACTAGACTTTGTGTGTCGTCTGCATATTGTACTACTACTGCGCCTTCGGCAAACTGACTAAGGTCGTTGGCGAAGACGCAGTAGAGGAGGGGGCCTAAGGCTGAACCCTGAAAAACTCCGATGCTGTTGGGTAGCGGGCGGGACTTTTTGATTCCACCGTGATTGTCAGTGAAGCTGACGCTCTGAGTGTGGTTTTGAAGATATGCGTAAAACCATGAAGTGTCAATTCCGTGCGCCTGTAACTTTGAAAGGAGCTTCGAGTGGTCAATGACATCAAAACACTTGCTCAAATCCAGCAGGCAGAGAAGGGAAACCTCTCCATGGTCAGATGCGGATAGGATACGGTCGGAAATGGATGCGAGCGCGGTTTCCGTGGAATGGTGAGGTTGGAAACCGTGCTGGTTAGGAGATAGGAGATGGTTTTCGGACAGGTAGGAATAGAGCTGTTGGTGGACAGCTCGCTCTAGGATTTTGGTGATGACAGGTACGATGGATATGGGACGGAAGTTGGACGGGTTAGACAAATCACCGGATTTTAGGATGGGATGAACAAGGGAATGTTTCCAGGAGTGCGGGACGTCGGATTGGGCAATGCTGGAGTTGAGCCAATGTGGGAGCACCTCATCATCATCTTGGAAGCTGATAGCTCCACCACCCTATGGACCATGATAGTAGCTCAGTGTATATGTTACAGGCCGTATGAAAACTCAGTCCGTTTGCAAATGGCCTGTTCCGATTCAGGCCGTTTGCAAACGGCCTGGACAGCCCAGTCAGTATGCAAACGGACTGAAGAGTCAGGCCGTTTTGAATACGGGCTGAAATTCCAGGCTGTATGCAAACCGCCTGAAATTTCAGACCGTTTGGAAACCGTCTAGGCCGTATGCTAACTTTCCAGACACCAGGCCGTTTGCAAACGGTCTAGGCACTTTGAAAACAATCTGGTTTGCATGAAGATAACTGGACAATATTGAGTTTCTTGAAACACGACCGTTTCATGACATTACATGGCATCATGAAATACTGGTCAGAAAGAGATTAGCAGAATAGAGGCCAGTTTTACCAACAGAAAAATAGCCGCTTGCCGGAATTTTGTACCTAAACGCCGCTTCACATACCGAGCGTAAACGGTAAGGCCATATCCGCTTACGTGCCCATCGCATCTATGTGAAACGGTCCTTGGGAAAAAAAATCCGGCAGGCGGCTATTTTTCTCTTGGTTACAACTGGCCTCTGAACTGAGGCCCGGCTCGTATAGCACCCGGTCGACCCGGGCTTCCCCCGGACTTCAAAGTTTCGCCTTCCACCACAATGGTCAAGTATTGCCGGCGTACGCCACCGGCCAGCCGCCGGCGCGGCGGTCGACCGGGTGCGGTGAGGACTCTGTCAACTCTAATGTCCATTGTGCGCTCCTGCGTTTTATGCTGTTCCGCAAAATAATCGGTGAGTCTTGTAGTGATACGCTACGCTTCACCAGGCTTCACCAGTAGTGACTTCACCAGGCTCCATCAACTGGATGGCCGTAAACAGGCGGACCGAGAACTTGTATAATTAGTAATATTGTCGGGAAAACGGCCGGGCAGAGCATCTGCACAGTAAGCAAAAGTTCGACGTAGACGAGTCATTCGGCAGAATGCGCAAGCAATAACCCGCGCCCTGCTGGGGGCGGGGTGTTTGAACACCCCCCCCCCTGTGGTTTTTCGCGAATATCTCAAAAACGGCGTCGCGGAGCACCGCCGTTTTTGGTACACCTTGTCATACATCAATTCTACACATGTGAAAATTTCAAACCAAGGTCATTCAAAGCGAGGTCACCAGGTCACTTAAAGTGACCTTATGGGTTAATGGTATGAGTTAAAATAATACTTTTAGTTTTAAGTTTTATTTGCAGTTAGAAACATGACCTTTTGTATTTGAAGTGATTCTGAATATCTAATCTTTTTTACATTTTTCGCTGAACCAAAATTACAATTACACATACAGCACAAACTCAAGTATTGTGTGCACCTCCGCTCAGGGATGTGGGTCACCACAGGTACTTCCCCACCTAGAACGGAGTTACGTAGTGTGCTGACATTGTGCCAATCAACGTAACACGTCACAGATAACACAATCTGAAAAAAATCACAACTACAGCATCGTTTTTCTGGGTTCCACCTCAGCTAAATATAGTCGCTGGATCCACTCTGAAACGAACCCTTCTTCCACTTCTGGTACGTGGTGACTCTGCTTCCGGCACGACCTCTGGAGGGACCGATTCTGCTGGGCCGGGCTCAGCGGCGCTGCTCGGCTGTGGCTGCTCCTGCTCCCTGTCCACCAGCCGCCGGGTGTCGTCATGTCGCGGGAAGTAGGCGGGCTTCAGTCGGTCCACTGATACAGTGTCTATCGCCCCAGACGGTAGTTCTATGCGAAAAGTCTTTGCTCCTCTGTGAGCTACACGTAGCGGTCCCTGGTATGGAGCTTGGAGTGGACGTTGGATCCTGTCCACTCGGACCCACACATGCGTGCATGTCATTAAGTCCTTGGGAATGTGCTCCTGGACAGCACCGTGATCGGTTCCGAGGGAGGCCGTGGTGAAATCCAGTTCCGTCATGTGCTGGGCCAGCTCCTGGATCATCTTGAATGAAGAACGTGTTGAAGACTGTTCTCCTAAGCACAGTTTTGGACAGAGCAGCATGCCACCTGTCACTGCTGTGAACGGTGAGGCACCAGACTCGTTTGGCATTGCACGCAGACCCAAGAGAATTATTGGGAGTGACTTCAGCCAGTCTTCCTTCCGCGCCTTCAGTGCTGTCTTTAGTGTGCGATGAAATCTCTCAATCATTCCATTACTTTGCGGTCTGTAGGCGCATGTCCGGAGGCGATGAAATCCTATCATTTCAGCCAGAAGTTGGAAGAGCTCGGCTTCAAACTGGGCTCCACGGTCAGTTACCACGTAGAGAGGGACACCGAACCGTGCAATCCAAGTCTCGAGGAGCGCGTTCGCTACTGATGTGGCAGTTATGTCGGTAATGGGCGCGACCTCTACCCATCGGGTAGCGCGGTCGATGCAGGTGAGTAGATACCGATGTGTCGACGGGAACGGTTGGCCATGCTGAGATGAAGGTGGTAGCGGTCCAACTATGTCGATGTGCACCGTTTCAAAACGTGATGATGGCAGGTGAAACTCTCCAGTTGCGGTCTTTGTGTGGCGATGGACTTTGGCTTCTTGACAAGCCACACATTCCTTCACCCACGTCTTGATCTGTCGATCCATGTCTGGCCAGAAGTATCTTGCCTTGATGAGCCGAAGTGATCCTTTCAGACCAGGATGTGAAAGATTGTGATACCTCTCGAACACACTTCGTCGACATGACAGCGGAACAAACGGCCTCGGCTGTGGCGTAGACACGTCA